TTACAACACATACCAGCTTGAGAAAAAGCAGGATGTAGAGCACTTTATTTTCAGGATTTAAAAATTCAGAAATATTTTCACTAAAGCCAGAGGAAAATGGCTATGTTCTACCCATACATAAAAGCCAATACCATGCCTGGGATGATTAAAATATTCAATGTATCCCTGAAATGAGAGCATTGACATCCTTACATTATACTAAAATCCCTCCTTTACCTTGGCATTGGAAAATTCGAGAAAAAGCAGAGGATACAAAGGCTTTCTACTAAATATCCTGGACACAAGAGTTGGTTTTTCCACAGCATCATGCTGCAGGGTTTTGTGTCACCCCATCTCAGCCTTCACACCATCCTCTCAGCTTGATGTCGTGCCAATGTGATGCCAAATTGTCAATTACACTGCTTTTGAGTTTGTCCTTATTTAATTAAATACTATGGTGTTGGAGAAATGGATAAAAGGTGGCATATGTTTCCAAGGACCGAGACACCTGTCAAGGGATACCTGTCTCTAAAGGCCCTCTCCTCAGCCAAGCACTGAACAGCACTAATTACGTTATGCATAAAGCTGGGGTCACTGAATTAACTGAAAACCAACCAAAGGGTCCACAGTATATGCAGTCCACAGGGGCATTCACTACTGGGAAGAGAGGAAGCCTAAAGATTCAGGAAGGAGATACTCCCTGGGACCTCTCACGGGACTACTTTCCTTTCTTCCTGGGATAGTCCATATACAAGGAATCATTGACCTGGCAGCTCCTGTAGCCCAACTGCAGCAAAGCCACTAATGGGTTTCTAGAAAGGCAGCTACAGATGCAGGCATGGTGTGGTGACACGTACAGCCTGTGTCATGCTCTAGGTCACCAGAAGGATCTTCTGCTCTGCAATAGGCCTCTTTGATTGCAATTCTCCTATTAGTTGTGATTAAGGAAATTCTATTATACAGTTCAGATACAATTACAGTTGTAGTACAAACCAATTCACAATTAATCTAAATATAATGGTAAAATTTATCCTATGTGATTGAATAATTACTGGAATACAACTCCAGTAGGGCAAAGATCAGGAATATTTCATATGTATATCATTCAGAAACCAGCATTTAAAAACCGTATTGCTCAGTCATACAATACGCATCACAGAAACAGATCCACTACAAAAAGTGAATAAAGAGGAATTGAGCTGAGAATCATTAAAAACATACTTTTGAAACTAAGAACAACCACATTATTGCATATAATAATATTCCTTTCACACTAATTTGTTTTAATCTATTCATGCTCCTTATAAAACATTGCACAAAATTTTAATCATAGCATTGGTTTTTTAAAGTGTGCATTTCAGTAAATGACACATGTATAAATTCAGTGAGTTAAAATGTTAGACTGACGCTAGAAGTGAGTAGTCATTTATTCAGAAAAAAATTGCCCTGTTTTCCTGTCTATAAATTTTCTATGGAAAGCTATTATTTTTTTCAGTGTATTCATTATTCAACATATTAGTTGAATAGTCCTACAGAAACTTCTCTGCTTTTGAATCATTCACAGCTTGTTAGGTCCAATTATTTCACATTTGAAATTTGAACCCCAGTCCTTCCTTTTTATTGGACATAGAGTTTACATGAACTGATGGTGTTCTCCAGTTGAAAAAATGTGACCAGAATGCAGATGGAATAAGTTTTGTACACAGCATCAGCACTTCATGTCTGTGTTTCAACAGGAATCAATTTCTTAGCTATAATACAAGATCAATGTGAACACAAGCTGAAAGTAATCTTAGGGTAATTCTGAAGAAGCACACCCATCTTACAAAGAACATTTTCCCCACAACTTTTGATATCCATATAGCACACGCTGCCTTCTTTTGCCAAGCCCACACAATTACGTTCCCTTCTAGAAAGACAAGTTAAAAAAAAAAAAAATCTCTGAAGGAGCTCTTTTAGAATCATAGAATGGCTTTGGTTGGAAGGAACCTTAAAGATCCAACCCCCCTGCCATGGGCAGGAACCCCCTCCACAAGAGCAGGTTGCTCAAAGCCTCATCCAGCCTGGCCTTGAACACCTCCAGGGATGGGGCATCCACAGCTTCCCTGAGCAACCTGTTCCAGTGCCTCACCACCCTCACAGTAAAAAAACTTCCTCCTAATATCTAATCTAAATATACCCTGTTTCAGCTTAAAGATATTACCCCTTGTCCTGTTGCTACACTCCCTGAACAGCCCCAACTCTCTCAGCCTGTCCTTATAAGGGAGGTGCTCCAGCTCTCTGACCATCTTTGTGGCCCTCCTCTGGACTCCCTCTTAACAGGTCCATGTCCTTCTTGTGCTGAGGACTCCAGAGCTGGAGACAGAGTTGCTGCCTGTCCCTCCCCATCTTGACAGCAGCCCGAACACCACAAAGTTACCAGCATTTCTGGGCAGTGCCCTGTAATGCTCCACTCCTCTGAGGCTTTGGAAAGCAAGGCTGACAGCAGCCTTCAGTCCTCTGAGACTAGGTAATATGAAAATCAAAGTATTTATACGGTGGAGAGGGTGAGAGGAAGGGATAACAGGCAGTACTATAGAAGAAAAAAACCAAAACAGTTGAAAGCAACTTTACAGGGAGTGAGAAGTGCCCTAGAATGGTCATTAGCCACGCTGCAAGGAATGAGATAAAAAAGAGGAACATTTGCTGCAGATATTATGAGGTGGGAAGGATTGGAGGAGGCTGTTATTCTTGAAAGTATTTAATGAACTGGCAGATGGCCCTGTGGTCAGGACACAGGAAATGCTAGTCCCCTTTCTGCTGCAGACCCCCTGCATCGGATCAGAAAAGTCACGCTGGTGTCCGAGATCACCAGCAGGAGCCAGGCAGACCTGGTGCAGTGGGCACTGGGGTGGTCAGTGTCAAAGCAGCTGTCAAAATTGGTGGAAGATGTCTGTTCCAGTATGGGAATTCCTCCATGCCTCCTCTTGCACAAAGACATTCAAAATGGGCAAGAACATCTGCTTTTGTTTTCACAATAAAAGCTGACACTGGAGGAGATATGCACATTTGGGAGGGGAGCACATTCCACAGTGGATCTCTTTGTAATACAAACAATGCAAGACCATCCTGGGAACATCATTATTTGGTGAAAACTGTATTCAAGAGGACAAGGCTGCCTGTGAAGGTGGCAGAAGAAGGTGCACTGAAATAAGAGAGGGTCCCTCTTGGCAAGGCAAATCGTGGCTTCTAGTCAAGTGCAGTGGCCTAACACTGACCCAACAGTCACTGCTTCCCTCCTCCATCTCTGTGGACATTTCAGAGGCTTAGTTGCTCCATTCCTCCTTCAGCAAAACAATGGATTAATATAAAGGTGCAACGAACTCCCAAAGCAGGCTAGTCTTCAGACTCACTCTGTCTTTGTGCATGCAAAGACAAACACTTTTAAACAAAATTACACCAAAATGTGAACTTAGGGCTGCTGAAAGTACCTTGATGGGAAACTAGGAAAACCTATCACCACAGTTAGTGTTTGGAAAGAAGCTGTCAATGGAGGTGCTTGAACATGAATACAACCTATTTGTAAATGATAGAGGTGTTCAGCAGAAAGATAGAAGATTTCAGGTTTGTTGTCCTGCACTGCTCTACCCCAAACCATCCCTCTAATCTTTTATGCAAAAGACATTCAGTAGGCAGTGCCAGAGCAAGACTTGGACTCATTGACTACAACTTCACCTGTGTCCTAGAAAGATGCTTCTGTTCTAAAGCTGCATGAGCTGACAAACTCCCTAATATCTCTGTAATGCAGATATTTGACTAATTTTTAGAACACAGAAAAATATATATTTAAAAAAATATTTTCTTAAAACAGAACTCTGGTAAAAATAGAATTTCTATTCTCCTCTTAAAAAATCCTCCCAACAGGTCAAATCTATAGCTAACACTAGAAACCACCATTTCAAAAGAAATGTACCACATGGGAACAGAGTAATTCCAGAGACAAACTGATGCTTAAAAAAGTGTTTCTCCTTGTAATTGAAGTACTTACTTCAAGATTAGAAATGGGATGGTCCTTGGAGCGGGCAGGGAGGAGAGGAATGCAAACAAAACAGCCTATTAAAAATATATATTAATGCTCATCTGAATGGCAGCTGGAATCACTATAGCTTATTCATGCAGATTTTTTCTACCATGAACACTTGTCATGAGGAGTTGGAAAGAACAAAAATATTCCTTACAGAGTTTCCTGTGTTGAAGCTGACAATTAAGAGCTAGCCAGTGAATAAGATTTTGCATGACCAATTCTATTCAGCTGAGCTCAGTTTCTTGAGCAAACTATAAAAGACAAATCAGTTTAAGTATATATAAGGAGTCCTAGTTACATGGTTAAAGGAAAAGCTCAGCATACCAAATTAGTAACTTGTTTCTATACCCCCTGAGTGGCTACCTTTACACAACACATTTTCTGTAGCATTACCTGTTTCCATTTGAAAGCAGAACTCTGGTGCTGGCATATTGAGGACTGGGCTGCTTCACAGCAGTAATAATAGTGTCTAGAATTCCAGATAGGAGTATGAACTTTCCCACTTTGTATAAAAAAAATCTTTAAAAATATAATAATGAAGTTTTAATCAACTATTTGACATATCTAAAAAGAGGGGTTGAGTAGTCAGGTCAAAATAAGCCTACCGAGGCCCTAAGCATTGTAGTTTGCAAAAGCTATCAATTCTAATTTGCCGTAACAATATAAAACTTTATTTTAGAAGCACAGGCTTTGAAATCATTGTCTGAAACACAATGTGAGACTATGTGAGCCACTGGACTGTCATTGTTTGGATTGCAACAGCATTCCCACGTCCAGTCATGGCCTCTGCTGTGACAAGCATATAAACACACAAGAGAAAGGCAGTATCTGCCCCGAAAAGGTCACTACTGTAACTGTGGGCAAGCTTCATGAAGGGGTAAGGGAAGGTGAGAAGAAGAGAGGGTGACCTGAGAAATGTTTCTGGCTGGTGGTGAACGTCTGCCCTCCATCTTTCAGGATGTCCTGGGACTCCCCGTGCAGCAGGGACTTACTGCGCCCCAAGATAAGGAGTGCCTCGAGCCGGATGCCTGGCAGCCAGAGCAGCGCCCGAACACCATCCCTGGAGGAGCTGCGGCGCCTGCTCTGCATGGGCACACACCGCACGGGGCACGTGGATGAAGTCTGGCCAAACCTTTACGTGGGAGACCTGTAAGACAGAGGGAAGGGTTGAAGGTGTTAATGCAGCTCTTAGCCCCTGCCTTATTTCCCCCCAAATCTTCCACTCTTTATTTAAAAAAAGAGAGCTAGACACTAATTTGGGGACCCCTTACAGTAAGTCTAAGTGTTGAACTGTGCATAGGATGCTGTAGCATAAAGTCATCCTAACTATCTGAAAAGAATATTCCCTCTCCTGATTTATCCTCCTGCATTAGCACAGGAGTCCCACACTGCAAGAGGTTGGTGGGGGCCATGGCATCAGTACTGCAGGCAGTCACGCCAGAGCTAGGTAAAACAGGATCAACCTCGCTTTCTCCTCACATTGACAGATAGCATCAGTCCCCTGAACGGACAGATGCTCAGCAGAGGTGACTTGGTGAGAAAGCAAACCAGAAAACTCTCAACTTGTGCAGAAATATCACCACCACCACCTTTCTATTTTTCATCAATTGAGAAGAACCACCTAAACTGATGTTTGGGAGAAAAATAGAGGAAATGTAAAAGTCAGTTTCTTCTGTCTTGAAGCATTTTGGTGGACACTTTGGACGTGATCAACCTGTCAGAAAATAGCCACTACAACTTCATACGTTTTTAACAAACTGCACCATCAGCAGCATGTTCTACACCACATTGTAATGCAGCAGCAAATATAACCCACTGTCCTTCTTCCAGGTATGTTGCTCGTGACAAAGTGCAGCTGAGCCAAATGGGCATCTCCCATGTTGTGAATGCCGCTGCTGGCCGATTTCGCATTGATACTGGACCCAAGTTCTATAAAGACCTGCCTGTGGATTACTACGGAGTAGAAGCAGAGGACGACCCAAACTTTGATCTCAGCATTTACTTCTACCCAGTTGCTCGATACATAAGAGCAGCACTGAATTCCCCAAGAGGTAACTGGACCATCTCTGCATGTTGCATATCTACTGCATAGGAGCCAAGTAAGGCAAGTCATCAAATAATATTTGGCATAAACCAACCACCTGCAGATGTGGGTCAGAACGGAGACAGCCAAGACAAGTAGTGTCATGCCTGCCTCCTGAACTCCCACAACGAGTGGGAGTTCCCGTGTTCCCCTGGAACAGGGAAGGATGCACTGAACAGACTTTCAAAGGGAGTTTCCCTATGTCTAGTGCTATTCAGTAGCAGAAGACAGAACAGCAAGTATCCTTTATTACCTATAGGGGCACACTGACCTGCGAGGAGGCACAGACACTTGATCTTTTCAAATTAGTGATGGGGTTTAAAATAAAACCTGGGATGGGGTAAAAAGACAAGGGCAAGCAACATACCTGAGTAAGAAGAATCAACTATAATGCTACAATCTGTGCAAGTCCTAGAAACAAAGGACAGGGAAAAACTTGCTAGGAAGCAGTTCTATAGAAGAGAACCTGGAGCAACACCACCTGCCAGGAGATAATGTCATGCTGTTGCTAGAATGAGTATAACCTTGAAATAGGAAGATAACCCACAAAATCCTTGGACTTGCTAAACACAAGGCAGTTACAATGCTAGAGATCTGGGGCCAGTGGGGAATCATTAAGGACAAGCCTTCACAAAAGCAAGTCTCCACTGTGCCACTGAATTGTACAGGTACTCACTCAAAAATAGGTGAGAGAACAGTTATACACTCAACAAACTGTTTTGCTTCCATCATTGTGAAATTTAATATCAATGAGGGTCCTAAAATACTAACTCTCCAGCTCAATTGTATGCTGATCCACACCATACAAACTAGGAAAGAGAGACACAGTAACTGAAAATAGTATACCTCTGTGCTAGATGCCTCGGTGTTTACTGCTGTTTAGAGAGCTTGATCCATCCTGTTAGAAAGTATTTGCCTTTGTGCAACTGAGGCCTGCATTTGGATTTCAAAACCACTAACATATCTGGTGAATTTGGATCTGCATCCATTTCTATTACAGCATACACTATTTACAATTGAAGTAATTATTGGTGGTGCTACAGAGAAAGGTAAGATCCAAATTGTTTTCATGTGTATATATAAAAAAAGCTCCAAATCAATTGACAAAAGACAGAAAACAACAGATGAATTTTGGTGGCCACAAAAGCAAACAAAACCAGTGCTTTGCAACATGCATGCCCAAATACTGGAAGTTATAAACACAGAACAAGTTAGGGCTCAAGGCAAACACCATGAACTCATCGTGTCTAGAGTGCATATTTATCCCTACTCCCATGCTTTTAGATATTGCTTTACTGAGCTCCATATGGAAGCAGGGTTCTGGGAATGGAGACAAGGTGAAATTCAATCATATACAGTCCAGCTGTTGCTGACATTCATAATTTTAAGGAAAGTGCAACAGTTTAGAAAAATATATAAACAAGATGTTCTGGAAGCATAATTTCCTGAGGTACAGAAATTTCGCAGCTAAATACCCATGACCTCTGCAGGGATGAGACAGGGAGAGGATTGTTACTCACATCATTAAGAAGAAGAGAAAAAACAGCATTTATTATAAGTAGTGATGCTGAAATTATACCAGGTGACAAGAGGCCTGTTCGTATTAAATTCAGGATGCAACCAGGTACTTCTGTTTGATTGAGAAGTCATTTAAGACTGCTACTTAACTATAACAAGTAAATTCAACATATTTTTTTTTTAATGGAATTAAATTATTTTTTTCACCTGGGAGGATACATCAAAGCTAAGATTGTATGAGGCACAAACATATTTAAAACTATGAATCAAGTACTTATTAGAATTAAGTAAGACCTGTTACTTTCATCATGCTTGAAGAAAAATTCTGGTGTTTTACACGAGAAGTCCAGAAAACAACATGGGCAGATTTATTCCAGATTTCTACCTTAGCTGAACAGAATATGTGTTCAGTGATGTAAGGAATTTATTTTTAAGGCTATTTCTTCAAACCTAGATGCCAGAGCATGAGCAAAAGGAAGCAGGGCAGCGCGCACTCACATGCTCCTAATTGGGAGCTATTCCTGTCACAGTGGTCAATGGCTGCATCACACCCTGAATGACTTCCTTCATCATCTTGGTTGTACAGATTAAGAAATATATGCACTACTATTGCAGCCATGCATATACACATTATCTCAAGAATCCTGCTTCATCAGCTGCCTTTGCTTCAGCAGAGCCCTGCTGTTCCTTTGCCCATGTAACAGAGCTGTTTGGGAAGACTCAGCCAAGAGCAAGCAGATGCACAATCCGCCCCTTTCTCTACAAGCAAAAACGTGGTGTCAGGGAAGTACTGGCCTTCTCCCTCATGCTCATGCTCAAGGGGCAACACCTTGAGTGTCAATCTTGCCCCTTTGCATGACCATCTGTTCAATTTGCATTTCTCTGGAGTGCAGCTAAAACTAAGCGTAAATCAGCAGGGTTTGGTAAAGTCTAGCAGAAGAGGGATGGAAAGAGAACTTGAGAGCACAGATGAAAGCATGCCAAAAAACTATTAAGCTAACACTGTGCAGAGAGAAAGATTCCCAAGCAGAGAGCTTCTCCTTTTATTGACCTCCGAACATGTTTAAAACAGGGAGGTTAAAATCACCCATTAACTTCCTGAAATGGCAAACCCTCTTAAAGGCATTTCCCTTCTTTGACTTCAGTGGTGCAAATGAAAAGCTAGGCTCCCTCTCCTGCCACCTTCTTGGTGGTGGTGGTTATGAAAGAAGCTTAACTTAGGAGAAAAGGGTCCTCTCTCTCTTGACTCTGCTGTAGGTGCATTGCATACATCCGTTTCACCTCCCACTCTCCAGCAGACGACAGTCCTTACCTGTTCCAGGAACCATGGGAAGAGGGGACATGCCACAATCTAAAGCTCTCTGTAGGACTCTTGGTATTTTCAACTGTGACAAAATAGACACTTGGTTACTGAAGAATAGACAATTGCTTCTGCACCTGGCTACCCAATGGTGGCTAAAATGTAACAGGAGATGAGAAAACCATGGTGGAGTGGGAAGAGTTCCTTGGGGCCACTAGCCCAGCAGAGCTCTCCTCCTGGTGAGCAGCATAATTCTGCGGGATTCAATGGAGAGAGGGCAGCTGGGGTGTTCACTCCGGGTGACGGATCTGGAGACCAGTCTTAAGCCAAATTGAATCCATCCTGTAAGAAAGCAAGGGCTAGTTCAGGACATTTAGCTCAGTTAATGATGAGCAGCAAAAGGACAATAAGATATTATGTGTTTTAATGACTGATTTGTTCAACAACATTGAATTTCCCAGCTTGAATTTGGCCAACAATGTTGAATGTGCAAACTTTATCCCTAGTGCAAACCCTTTGATGTCAGTAGAGTTACAGCAGGCATGAGCTGGTTATAATATCCATAATCCGTTGTTAAAAACCAAGTGTTATTGTTCTGCACAAATCCCAGCCAGATGACAGTCATTGTCTGCCTCTAAAAAAGTAGCTTGAGATGTGCAGTGCAACATTTCAAATAAGGATTGCAAGATTTAATAATGCCAGAAGTGAAGTGCCCCCACTTCTCCTCAGTTAATCCCATTACTCCTAAGGGATCCTGTTACATGCTCAGAGAGAAGGTTGCAACATGGCCCTCTAATGTGGGATCAGTCCAACTCCTCTTTGCACTGTGTGTTAGAACAAATAGGGGCAGGGAAGGCAGAGTTGGAGGATGTTGGCTTGTGGTATGGCTTCTGGGGTGGAGAAGATCTGGTTATAACCTCCCTGGCCCTTCCATGACAAAGGCAGGCACCAGAATTGCCGCCGTGAATGCTGGTTTCCCAGGCCATGGTCCAGCAGCAGCCGGGACTCCGAGCCACAGTGCTGGGATCTCAGCTGCCTCCTGCAGGAGGCTGATGCAATGCGCTGTTATCTAGACCACGGCAGTCAGCCCACACAATGCAGATGTGCTCCGGGCGCTATTCAAATGCAGTATATCATGGTGGGTTCAGAGTGGCACTTAACCCATTTACAGCTACTGCTGAGAGACAAGGGTCTGAGCCTGTAAACAGAACCCAATAGCAACACAGCCTTTGTTTCCCAACTCAAGTTCAACATTCAATTTGTTTGCTACAAATAATCACATAGTAAATTCAAATCTGCTTTCATTACAGCAATTGTACATTAATTAAATAATTTCACATGACTGATTTATCTGCAACAAACAGTCATTTTATTGTCAGTGTACCAGCATTTATCATAACCTCTGTGTGTGGTGAAACTATGTCTAACAATGTGGAATAGATATTGCACATGTAAAAGAGATAATATACCGGCATCTTCTTGGGAGCAAGTGTGTGCAGATTACATCCAAGGTCAATAGCTGGGGCTTGTCCAGATTTTTGCTGAGACACCTTCTAAAGCTAGTTGCTGATCAAGGAGGACTCTTTTGAAGTGTAGATAAGCCAGAAAAGCAGGGAAGAAAATTCAGTGTGTTCTTACTTGTCACCTTCTCCTCTCAGACACAGAGTTAGGTATCAAATTATCGTGGTTTATAAAGCCACAGGGACAGTCCTTTGTTAAACACCAGGTGGGCTGAGGCAGGGACAGGGAGGGTTTCACTCACCACTCAGGGTCACAGACAAGAAACCGACGCTACTTGTGAAGGAAAAAAAAAACATTTATTAACTATTTACAGCAAGAAGCAAGATACTGAGAGAGAGAAACCACATCTTAGAAAGGCACTTCGCCCCCACCCCTCCTTTTCCCAAAGCCCAAAGGCTTTGTCCTGTACCTTCTTCCCCCCTCCCGGGTGGCACAGGGGGGCAGGGAATGGGGGTGCAGTCAGTCCGCCACTCCTTCCTCCTCAGGGGAGGGCTCCTCACAGTCTTGCCCAGCTCCACTGTGGGCTCCCTTCTCACAGGAGAGTCCTTCTCAAAAAACTGCTCCGGTGTGAGTCCTTTTCCACATGGGGCAACAGTCCCCTGACGACTGCCCAGCTCCGGTGTGGGCTT